CAGAGAGGGAGAGCGACTGTGTGCTGAAGACCTGGGGGGCACAGGGGAAGGATTGCATGGAGGGGATTGTAACCATGGCAATGAGACGATATACAATAGAATGAATGTAAAACTAATGTTCTCCCATGTAAACTATCACATAATTCACAATAAAACATTTAAGAAAAAAAAGAATCTCTGTTCATTAGAAAATGGGGAGACTGATGAATATTCAGGCTAATAATGTCCAATCGATGATGACTTAATGAATGCAGACCCAGGTGTAAGCATGCACATGCTAAATGCTGACCAGGCTACTCCACAAACCTTGCCTGAAGCTGGTTATAAGCCTTTGAGCGACTCACTCACTGGTTCACCAGGGACCCAAGTCCTTTCTCTATTTTTCTTGTCCTGGGCTCTACAGCATCTATTCACCAGGGTGGGGACCCAGGACCCCTCTTTCTCACTTGAATGGACTCACAGACACAGGAACTGAGAAGCAAAGAATAGATGGTAATAACGTGCAGACCCAAAGTCCAAGACCGACAATTCCCATACAGTTGTTGTTGTTGTCAGGTGCCATCGAGTCGGAACTGACTCATAGTGACCCCATGCACAGCAGAAGGAAACAATGTCTGATCCCGGGCCAACCTCACTACCGCTGCCACATTTGCAGAGACAACTGTAAAACAAGCGCTGTGGGTTAATGCGCTGGACAGTAAGGTCGGTTTGAACCGCAAAGTTGACAGTTCAAACTCACCAGCCGCTCTTGGAAAATCCCTATACAGGGTCACTAAGAGTCGGAACAGACTAGATGGCACTTAACAACAACTATGTAATGAACACTCACTCTGATGCGACATCAGACTGCCACTCTCCTCTGGTCAGAACACCCATGGTCCTCCCTGAAACCCAGAAGGCCCTTTCCAATCTGCCCCCACTCTCCCTCCCTTTCAAGAGCTCCACTCTAGCAGAGGTGACCTCCTTGAATATCTGGGAACTCATCAACCAATTCCTGCCTCAGGGCCTTTGTACCTACCATTCCCTGTGCCTGGAAACCCCCACATATGAACATGGGTCCCTCCCTCTCCTCCTTCAGGTCATTGCCCAAATGACACCTTCTCAGCCAAGTCTTCTCATCCCACCCTATCTAAAGAAGCTCTCCTTTTTCTGCCTTTTTAGTCCCCATATGTGACTGCACTTTCATGAACATTTGATCTACTTTACTGTGCTTCTCCTGATCTGTGTTCCCTACTATGTCTGTCTTTAAGGATGGGATCTTCTCTTGTGTCCCCATCAGACCAAGGCCCCAGCCACAGGTGACTTTTTCATCTAGGGGTGGTTAGGGCAGGTCTCTAGTAGAGGGGGCACCTGTGCCAATTCTACCACCCACAGGGAATGCTGAGACCTCAATCTTGGTGGAAGCCCCTCAGCTGAGAGGCCTTAGTTTCTCACAATCCCCAGTGGCCGCGAAAATGGATCCCCTCGCGCCAGGCGCCTGTACTCTCTCCCGTCTGCCCACCAGCTGGTTCTTTCCCCAGCCCCCACTCTCTCTATTCAATCACCCATCCATCCCAGCTCTTCTGGCCTTAATGGGAGAGCCCGAAGCAGGGCGGGGTGGGAGTGGGGGTCCACAGCTGTCCCGCGGCCCCCCCGCCCCCCCCCCGCCAGACAGCTGGGCTCGAGGCCCTGGGGTGGGGGGAGGGAAGGGCTCTCGAACATCCCGAGGGGTTTCAAAGGCTGCCTGAGCAACACCTCAGTCCTAAATCCCGACGCCAGGAGAACCCACGCCCCACACCAGGGATGAGCTGGCACGGGATGGGATGGGATGGAAGGTGCCTCCTCGTGGGGCTCGGGCGAAAAGCACAGAGGGCGCCGGCACCCGCTCTCCCCACGACACCTCCTCCGGGAAGCCCCCTGGGCACGCCCCCACGGTCGTCAGCCGCCATCGTGCTCGCGGCCGGCGTCGCTCATAACCCGGTCCCAGCAACCCTCACCGCCTTTTTCGGCCTCAGTCCCCGCCAAGGTGAAGGACGGCAGCGGGGGGGCCCGCCGGGGAGGGGGGGTGGAGCAGGCCGCCCGGGGCGGGGCTCGGACACGTGGGGGCAGCCGAGGAGGGGGCCCGGCGGCCGCGCTACCTGTTGATCTTGTGCGCGAAGGCGCGACGCTCAGCTGCTGCCATGGCGCCCCGCGTCCCGCCGCCGGCCCCGCAGCTCCGCCCGAGTACCGTCCCACCGTGGCTGCCGCCGCCCGGTTCTGGGCAGACCGGCTGGGCGGGGCCGGGGGCGGGGCCCTTCCGGGTGCGCCAGGCCGCTCGGTGCTGCCCCTGCCGGCAGAGGGCCTGGATCCCCTCAGTCGCAGAGCCCGCCGGGCTGGGTGGGAAACAGGCTCAGAGAGCAGTTAGACGGGGGCGGCGAGCGCCCCCAGACACCCAGGGGCGCTCTGACACGTGACTGGAAAGCATCAACATTCCCACAATTCAAAATCATCACTTGGGCTGAAGGGACGATTGTTTCGCTCATTTTACAGATGAGTAAACTGAGGCACCCGAGCGTTGAAGCACCTGCCCAGGACAGAATGACTCTACTGATGTGAGCGGAGGGGACTGGCTGGGCCTCAGGCGCCGGGAGATGTGACTCAAGATCTCCTGGGGGGACCAGCGAAAGCCAGTCTGGGAGGCTGGACCGGCCCGGCCGCCTCCACTGAAAGGAGGATGTGGGGATACCGTGGTTAAAATTTCCACAGATCATTCCACAACGGCCCCTCTCAGCTTTATTAGAGAACCCTCCCTCCATGCCCCGCTCATCTGCTTGTACAGCCCCTCCCGTCTAGGTCAGAAAATGTTTTAGGGAGAATTTTGAAGCTAAAGGAAAGCCTGTTGTGCTGGACTCAAAGGAGATACGCCTGGAATTTGGGGACCCTTAGGGACCTTCATGCAGGCCTAGAATAGCATCTAGGCTAGTGAGAGCCCAACAGGCAGCCCCCAGCCTGGCAGGTGCACACCTGTGTCCATAGCCCACGTGCCCGGCCCGGCAGACTCCAGGTATAACTCCGCCCATCACTCCAGAGTTACCCTCACTCCAGCCTGCAGCCTCGGGGTCTAAAGTCCCTGCTTCACCTGTCTGGCTGCACGTTCTGGGAAGCCAGACCAGACAGGAGCCATGGGGATGAAAAAAGATGAGGATTTCTCACCTCCCCCTCTGCCTAGCTCTGGTCTAGCCCCCATCATCTCCTTCTTGGATCAGTGCAGCCACCCTGATGCTCCCAGCGCACCCTCTCTCACTTCAGTTTCTTCCCCTCTCAGTGGCCAACGGAAACTCACCAGAGTCAGGGCACGTTTATCCTGTATCATGGCTTCCACCTGACTCTGGGTAAAAGACCCAAGTTCACCCTGCACGACCTCCTCCCTCTCCCCTCTTCCATTGTTCTGCTCATTTCCCCTCCACCTCATGTCCCTTTTCCATATGGAAGGAGCCCTGGTGTTGCAGTGGTTGAACACTTGACTGCTAACTGAAAGTTTGGTGGTTTGAACTCACCCGCTGCTCCCCAAGAGAAAGATGTGATAGTCTGTTTCCATCAAGATTATAGCCTTGGAAAGTCTCTGGGGCAGTTCTACTTTGTCCTATTGGGTTGCTACGAGCCAGAATTCACTCAACATCTATAGGCTTGCCTTGTTGTTGTTGTTGTTTCTATGTGTGAGTGCTGGCATTGTCCCCCTTTTATGGATGAGGAAACAGAGATCCAGAGAGGTGGAGTGACTTGCCCCAGTCACTGAGTGAATCAGCATCAGATCTGAGATTGGAAACTAGGGAACCTGACAACAAAGTTGCCTCTCAACACCAGCGGCATCTTTACCCAAGCCTGGCTATGAGACCTGGGGCAATTCACTCAACCTCTCTGAGCCTTGTTCTTTCATGTGCTCATGAGGTTTAAGAGCCAATCACAGAAGGGGAACAGACATTGGGAAGCAGGTCAGGTACAGAAGCCCTTGTGGATAAGTGCTGATGCTCCCTGGAGCCTCCAGATGAAACACGGCTTCAAAACTGCCAAGGAAAGCCCCTGCCCTGCTGCCTGGAGACCAGCACCAGCCCTGTGCCTGCCAGACCTGAGTGGCAAGGCTGTTTCTCCCCAGGGCGTGGTGAGACCTGACACAGTTGGGTGGGGCTGGCGGGTGACACCTGCAGCTGCTCAAACAGAAGCGGAGCTCAGTGGGGACTTTGGTCTACACTAGCTGTTGTGGAAGAGCTGATGGTTGTGTGTGTGTTGTATGTGTGTATGTGGGGGGGGAGGCAAAGGCGGGAGCTGCGATCACAGAGGAGGGACGACATGGGTCCAAGTGGCAAAGGGTAATCGTTGGTCCTTGGTGGGGCCAAGAGGTGGTGGGGAGTGGGTAGATTCTAGTCAGGCTTCCACAGTGGAGACAACAACCTGAGTCATCCACTGCCCTGTGTTGTTGTCTTCACTCCTTGCCCACCCGGCCCCTTCTTTATCCCTTCGATCTCACCTTTGACATCCTCCATCATGGTCCAGTCACACTGTGCCTAATTATATATCTCTGTGGGGTCCCCAGCATCTAGACCATCGTTAGATAGCAGTTACTGTTGAGTCACCTCTGAGTGTCCCAACCACACCTGCATCAGAATAGAACCATGCTTGCTCAGTTTTTCACAAAAGTACATCTCCAGGTCTTTCTTCTGAACTTCCACTGAGGTTTCTTTTGAACCTCCAAGCAGAGCACAGGAGTCATTTGCATCACCCAATTGGTCAGCCATAAATAGCGATTTCTCTTTGGTTTTCCTGATTTGCTGTTCAATGTTTGGTGAAGGAAGGCACCCTGGTGGCACAGGGGAAAGATGAAGCAGTCTGCTTCCATAAAGATTTATACCCTTGAAAACCCTATGGAGCCTCTCTACTCGATCCTATAGGATCACTATAAGTTGAAATCAACTCATTGGCAGTAGCTTTGCTTTTGTTTTGGTGGGCTTGAGTCACTGTAACATTATAATGTGCTTTTGTATCTTTCTGTTGGGCCTTGTGCCTCTAGACTTTTGTACCAAGGGAGAAAGATGTTGCAGTCTGTTTTCATAAAGATTTTTGTTGGTTCCGACTCATAGTGTGACCCTATGTACAACAGAACTAAACACTGCCCAGTCCTGCAAAAAGAAGACAGCCTTAGAAACCCTGCGCAAACTTCTGCTCTGTCCTGTGGAGTCGCTGTGAGTCGGGATTGATTTCACAGCAGTGGGGATATGCACAACTTCTATTCATTCTTCAAAACTCACAGTTTTAAGAAGCCTTCTTTGATGATCCCGTTCTCTGTGGCAGCTGGGTCAGGGGCTCCTCAGGGCTCCCGGAGTTCTCTATACAGCCCTGATCACCTTTAATTGGAACTGCCTGGTCATGTCTGTCTCCCTACTAGAAGATCTGCTCGGTGAGGGACATTCCTCACTACCACGTCCCCAGAGCTCAGCACAGGGCTGTGCATATAGTAAGTGCTCAATAAGCTAAGGAGTGAGGCAGAGTGGCAGAGAGGCCCAGTGGTCAGGGGACCCCGAGGCCTCCCTGTTTCCTAGTCCCAATGCCTTCTATTCCAACCATTGGTGCTTGGAGCAGTAGGAAAAACCAGCTCCCTGGAAACCAAGAGAAAGCCAAACCCATTAGCATCAGATCAATTCCAACTCATAGCATCCCTATTAGAGGCCAGAGTAGAACTCACCCTGGAGTTGCCAAAACACGTGATTCTCCCGACCTTTTGTTAACAGCCAAGTCCCTTCCCCATTATACCATCAGATTCTACCCCCGACTGAGTAAGTATTGCAAAAGGACACAACCCTGACACACACCTTTGCTAATTTAAAACCATGCAACATCTCCTTGTTCTGTTCCAACAACTGCCTCTTGTTCTATGTACAGGTTCTACGTGAGACAATTTAGTATTCTTTAATTCCCATTCTTTCCAAGGTTATCCAAAATGTGTTGTGATCCACACAGTCAAATACATTTGCATAGTCGCTAAAACACAGGTAAATATCTTTCTTGTATCCTCTTCTTTCAGTTAAGATCCATGTCCTCTTCTGAATCTGACTTGAATTTCTGCCAGTTCCCAGTCAAAGTACTGCTAAAACACTTTTTGAATTGTCTTCAACAAAATTTTACTTGCATGTGATACTAATGATTTGGCTCAATAATTTACACATTCTGTAGGGTCACCTTTCTTTGGTGTGGGTATGAATATGTATCTCTTCCAGTCAGATGGCCAGGTAATGTTGTCTTAGCAATTTCTTAGCATAGAGAGGTGAGTACCTCCAGCATTGCTTCATTTGATGAAACATTTCAAACAGTATTATGTCCATTCCTGGAGCTTTGTTTCTCGCCAATGTCTTTAGTGTAGCTTGGATATCTTCCTTCAAAACCATTGGCTCCTAATCATAAGCTGCCTCTTGAAACGATTAATGTCGACCTGATCTTTTTGGTACAGTGACTCTGTGTATTCCTTCCATCTTCTTTTGATGATTCCTACATAATTCAATATTTTGGACGATTGCTATTGCTAAGTGCCATCCAGTAGGTTCCAACTCATAGCAACCCTGTGCACTGTTTCCTAGGAGTGGCTGGTGGGTTTCAACTGCCAACTTTGTGGTTAGCAGTCTAGTGCTTATGGATGGCACCACACCAGCACTCCATTTTGCACAGGTTGTTGTTGTTAGATGTCAAGTTGGTTCCTAATCATAGTGACCCTATGCATAACAGAACAAAACATTACCCAGTCCTGTGCCATCCTCACAATGATTGCTAAGCAGGAACCCATTACTGCTGCCACTGTGCCAATCCATTTGATTAAGGGTCTTTTCACTTTTTCACTGACCCTCCACTTTACCAAGCATGATATCCTTCTTCAAGGACTGGTTCCTTCTGATAATATGTCCCAAGTATGAGAGATGAAGTCTTACCATCCTGGCTTCTAAGGAACATTCTGGTACTTCTCCAACACCATAACTCAAATGCATCAATTCTTCTGTGGTGTTCCTTATTCAATGTCCAACTTTAACATTCAGATGAGGTTACTGAAAATACAATGACTTGGGTCAGGTGCACCTTAGTCCTCAAACTGACATCTTTACTCTTGAATCCTTTAAAGAGGTTTTGTACAGCAGATTTGCCTACTGCAATAAGTTATTTGATTTCTTAACTGCTGCTTCCATGA